TTTCAAGCATGAATGATTATCCCTATTTTGTGTATCAAGTATTAGTCTTGTTTTGGATGACATTCTTAGAAAGTCCGTACGTGCTAGGGGACTCTAAACTTTTGTAGCATAAGTCCTCCCATGCTAGGAGACTTTAAACCCATGTAGCATCATGTTTGAGGGATATTTGTTATCGACGGTCTATGAACGGATGGCCCCACTGACGGGACACGTGGCCTTTTGGCACCGAGTCAGGGTTTCCTAAATTTCCCATTAAAAAAACATTTAGGTGGCGACTCTGTATCTGGCGAAGCAGTCCATGTTTGGCACTTCTTTCAAAAATCATTTTTCTCAAAACGATTTGCCGGATTTGGACTCTTTGGTTCAGACTTAGAACCGTGACAAATTTGAGAGTCCTGAGCTGTAGTGACCCCAATATGAACAGAACGGGAGCTCACCCTCCTGGGGTGTTCCGGGGGCGTCTACACAAGGCCCAACATACATTATTTGGAACTCATATCTACTTCAAAACTGAAGCCTATAAGTGAAAGTGGAAAACCCATCTAATATATATTAAGACTCATCTCTTTTATTCTTTATCCGATGTGGGATTCTACCTTCACACATGCTCCAACAATCTCCCCTTTATGTGTGAACCAAACATTGAGCCATACCCTCTATCGAGTCTAATCTATCATCACCAAGTTCATTGTAGATCATTACACACTCTCCCTTAATCTTGATCTATAACTCTCGAGAGAACTACCAGCACACACTCCATGTTGAGCCACCATACTCCATTGAGAACTACCTTGTGGTGGTCCAACCTTGCCACGTGTACCATGAATACATTGATACTCCAGAAGAGTCCACCAAGAGTCAACACAAGCCCACGCCCACCTACATCGATGCTCCAGAAGAGTTCACCCACAGATCGTCTGCCATTGACTTTAATACTAGTAAGTTGTTAGGGAATTAAGGAGTCCATAAGCGCACAACAATCCCGGCTCAATCCATTAGAGAGAAACTCTAGAATCCACAAACGCCATGTTAAGGCCCAATATATATTATTTCAAACTCATACTAACTTAAAAGTTTAAGCCTATAAGTAGAGAACCCATCTAATGTATATTAAAACTCATCTATTTTACTCTTTATCGGATGTGAGATTTTACTTTCACACATGCTTCAACAATTCTCATTAATCTGAAGGCAATCTTGAAAAGGATGAGGATTGATGGTTGCATTTGTTGAAAATTTAAGGACAAAGTGATCAGATATCATTAGGGATGGATTACTATGAACAGTGAAATTTTGCATAGCACCAGTCAATGGAGTAATAGAAGCCACCTTAGGACTGAGAAAGATTTGTAAGAGCAATGCATGCATGCATTGTGTTGTTAATGCATAACTGACAGTTTTTATTTTTTATTTTTGTTACAACCTTGAAAATAATAATATATTAGTCATTATGGTAGTGGTGGTGACTGACAATCTGAATAAGGTAGTGGTGGCAGCGGCAATAATAGAATGATAAATATTTAGTTACAAATGGTTAGTAATTGTATAGAGTAATAGAATTAGACCTAAAAAACACATGGATTAGAGGTGATAAATATCAAATTGTGTGATCATAATCGAAAAAATAAGGCTCTGTTTGGTTGTGTTTTGTAATCATGATTCTACACCTTGATTCAAACATCATGTTTGGTTAGAGTTCTCAAAACACATTTCCAAAACTTTGCACAAAACACTTTGTCTGAGGCGCGGTTTTTGGAATTTTTTTTTTTCAAATTTGGCCTAACCGGTCGTCCGGCCGATTGACCGGAATAGTGAATTTTTTTTTTTTGCGCAATTGATATGTTAATTTTTATATATTCAAAAAAAATATTTTCTGAATTTTTAAAAAAATTTTATGTGCTTTAAATTAATTTTAAGTTGTATGTTTTGTTATGAGTTGTAAATTTTTGTATCAAATATCAAATGTCACATTAATAATTCCCCACTGGCTAAAGCTCGAAACACAAGGGAGATGAATTGTTTATGATAAAAAATTGAATATGCATTTGCCCCCATTGCTTTTGTACATAACACGGAAGATAAAGTTACTAAATAAATATTAAATTGTTGATCATCAAGTTTTTTAAAGGTTGGGCACTGATTGAGAGAGTTTTAGCTTATAGAAGTTTAAATGGAGTTCTATACCTATGACATTGAAAAAAAATAAAAAATAAATAAATAAATAGATCAAAACTTCCCATTATAAGTGGATTTCACCCATTAAAACTCTCTTTTTAGAATTTTAAAGCATTTATCTTAAAAGTTTAAGAGTGATGAGATTCGAATACAAATAACTTTATTATTTATATCTTCGACCCGTTGCCACACCCTCTTTCATAAGTGGATCAAACATGACACACATTTAATCTAATATTATGTTAAATTATTAATTATCATTAATTATCAATTGGGTAAATTATACTAACAGTTTCTATAGTTTGAGGCTCGTGTCACTTTAGTCTTTGACTTTCCAATTGTGACACATTTGACCATGAATTTTAAATTTTGTTTCAAATATAAGGACAATTGAAGATACTATTGCTCAATTTGAAGGGTAAAGTCGTCAATTCAATAAAATATAAACTAATTTGACAGAAATAAATGACAAAAATATTTTTGAAATTTTCAAAATATTTTCTACCCACCAAAGATAAAATTATATAAAATTGATAAATCTTTTTGACATTTATTTATTTTTTATTTTTGCCAAATTAACTTTTATTTTGTGTTTGGATGATGTTCATGTAATGAGTGGTTGTCAGGCTTTTAAAGTGTAATTGATATATTTAATATATGAAATGTTAATAGTTTTGGATTTTTTAATTTAATAGTTTTGGATTTTTTAATTTAATAGATTGGTTTAATAATGATATTAAAATTGTCACCATATTTGACTTTTAGAAAAATAGAAACTAATTTAATGAAAATAAAAATAACCACCCATTATATGATCATCATCCAAATACATAATAAAAATTAATTTGGTAAAAAAAAAAAAATAAATGTCTAAAATATTTATCAATTTTACATAATTTTATTATTAGTTGGTAGAAATAATTTTTAAAAATTTAAAAATATTTTTTTGACATTTATTTTTGTCAAATTAATTTATATTTAATTAAATTGACGATTTTACCCTTAGAATTGAGCAATTGTGTTTTTAATTGTCTTTATTTGGAACAAGATTTAAAATTCAGGAACAAATGTGTCATAATTGAAAAGGTAGGAACCAAAGTGATATAAGACCCAAATTATAGGAACTGTTAGTATAATTTGTCCTTATTAATTTATTCAAAAATGTAAACTATTAGAGAAAAGAAATAACTTTATTAATTACCGTCTTCAGAATAAGGAAAAAAACAGAAGAAAAAAAAAAAGAAAAAGAAAGAAAAAGAAAAAGAAAAAGAGAAGATCTGAACAAAAGTCATATATGCACAGAAGAAAGTCCCGAGATAGAGTTAGATCTCACCCCCACTTTTCACAATTCAGTAATAGAAGAAAGTAGTCCGAAGATCGAGTTAGATCACCCCAACTTCTGACAATTTGAGTTCTACAAGAAACAGATTTACTCGCTTCACTCTAGAATATGAGCTACTATCTCTTCGATAACTGGACAAAAATTAGTAATTGGGTTTGACTTGGACGCTAATGAGTCCAAAATGAGAACTCAAAACTTAGCTCTACAACATATGATTAAAACTTCATATGCAAGTTGCAACACTGCTCACATCCATTTAAACTCAAAAATATGCTGCTATCTGGAACTGTTTTGGCTAGTCCGCATCTCCAAATGAACAACGTTGAATCTTAGGCTTGGACAGTATGAATCTCCAAATGACAGGCACCACGCAAGTGCCACTTGAGATTTACCTTCTTTTTTTTTTTTTTATTGTTTCAGTCATTTACATTGTGTTTGATTGAGAAATTTGAAAGGAATTTAAAAAAAAAAAGAAAAAATATGTAAAATTAAGTGAAATATAAGTATATTTTATTCACATTTTATTTATATTTTCTCTTTTCTTTTTTAAATTTTTTTCTAAATCTTCCAACCAAATACAACTACAACGTTAAAGAATCGGACTAGCCAAACCAATTCTAGACATCCTCAATACATATATATATATATTAAGAAGAGATTTTTAGATGTAATAATGCATGAAACATTATTTGAGATAGAAAAATTTTAAACTGGACACAACTCTCTCTCACATGGGATGTGAGACATTGGTATCCGATTCTGTTATTAGATTTAGATTATGTGCACATAAAAGAAAGTGTTTGAGAGGTAGCTATGCCGAGGTAGTACCTTGATCTTGAGACGTCGGGTCATGCCCTTGTCTCATGGCAGACTCCGTGACAACCGATGCACCTGAGTCCGATTGCACCCCTACAGCTGAGTTATCTTCATGACTGGTTCCGATGATACGAGTGAGACCCGAAACCATTGTGGGAGTGTCTTTCTCACCAAGAACGGATGCGTAAGAAGGAGGGAAGACATGCTGATGTTGGTCATCCTCTTCTTTCTCCTTCTGTGCTTCCATAGGAAGTGGCCTCTTTCCATGCCTTCGATCCACCTTTATTTGATGTTTTTAATAGTGATTAATTTGCATTCAAGCTCAGAACTTATGCTTAAAATTATTGCACTTGCTATCTCTGCTTAGATCATATGGAACCTGGAAGGAGCTAAGTAGATCTTGTGTCTCACTCAGTCAGTGTGGTGTGGTTAAGATCAAGATAAGTTGCAAGGATCGTGCCAACGCGATGATGTTGTGGCTGTGTTTGAAAAGCAGTGAGGAGTAAGAGAGAGAGAGAGAGAGAGAGAGAGAAGAAGAAGTAGGGTTTTATTGGTGATTGTTTGAGTTTATCTTCATTTTGAGTTAATTACACCATATTCCCTGTGTAATAAAAAAATTATAATTAATCCCATAATTTTTATATAATTACACCAACACCCCTCCACTTTAATGCAGTTAACATATATACAAACTTACCTAAATTCATAACTCTCAGATTGCTTTGGGGGATGGGAGTAGAGCTCACTTTTGGTTGGATAAGTGGATTGACGTTGTATGTTTTAAGGAGGAATTCCCTAAACTCTTCTCTCTATCTGATGATAAGCATGGGATGGTAAGGGTGTTTTTTGAGAATATGAGTGCAGCTAATGATTAGAATTTAGAGTTTAGAAGAAATCTGTTGGCTTGAGAGGAGAAGGAAGTCTATAGATTAATCTCTTTGCTTAGGTGTGCACCAGCTCTTTGCATTGACAAACCAGATGCATTGAAGTGGATAGCAGATTCATCTGGACTGTTTAGTGTAGCATCAGCTTATAAATGAAGTGAATCTCTTCTTGGTCCTGTTTTGACAATGGCAAGCTCTATTTGGAATAATTTTGCTCCTCCCAAAGAGCAATTTTTTGGGTGGTTGGCGTGGGTTGGTAAGGTGAAAACTTCTTGTTTTTTTCATAGAATTGGTATGCTTGATGGGAGTGTTGATTTGGAATGTGTTTTCTATCATGAGGATGTTGAAACTGTGGAGCATATTCTTCTTTTATGTCCTTTTGTTTGGAGGCCGTGGTCAAACATTGCAAGATGGTGGGGTTTTCAATGGGTCTTGCCAGGTTTTGTAGATGGGCTACTGTAGTGGTGGTATGGTTACAGAATGTCAAAATTGGAGAAGAAAATCTAGATGGTCATCCCTTTGGCAACTCTTTGGTCTACATAGAGGCATAGAAACAAGTGTGTTTTTAATGAATCTCAACCAGACTTTGAAGCTTTATGCAACATTGTAAAAGTTAGAGTAGCTTTGTGGGTCAAGGCTTCACCATTACATGTGGCAGTTTCTGTGACTGATTTGGTTTACAATCTGCAGCAGGTTAAGTTTTGTCTCAAAAATAGTGGTTTAGTGTGTTTTTGTGTTGAGAGTTTATCTGATTGAGTTTATTTGTTTTGTATCAGAAATGGTAGCTAAGGTTGTATAAGGTCTAGTTTTTGAGGTATGATCTAGTTTACATTACAGATACAGTAGTTTCTATCTGTTCTGTTTCTGTGAGTGTAGTGGTTTCAGTCCGTTATATTTTTGTGAATATCTGGACTACAAATAGATTGAGGTATTACTGTTTTTCTACTTATTGAATGGTGGCACATTGGTCTTGCTTTTGCTGGAGCATGCTATTGTTGATCTGTTCTATGCTAGATTGCTATGCTGTTCTGTGATGTTCTGTCTCCTTATTACTTGATTTGTTATGTTCAGTCTCCTTGTTACTTGATTTGTTATCTGTTTTTGTGAATATCTGGACTACAAAAGGGATTGAGGCAATGCTGATCTTGTGCTTCGGGAATGGTGGCACTTCTGCTAGTTGAGTGCTGCATCAAGAATGGTGGTTGAGTCAGCTGTTAGTTATGCTTTGTTGCTGGTCCTATTTTGTGGAGTTGCTAATGCTTTTGGTTCAGGTTCTATATGGAACTAATATGCTAGCTAAAGGTGGTTGATCTATTTTGTTGGACTGCTATGCTCAGTTGTGGACTTTTTTTTTTTTTTGTTAGTTGCTCACCAACTTAGAGGGTGCTAACAAATGATAGGATGAGCTTTTTAGTGGAAACATAATTGGGATGATTTAGCTCATCGTGATACTTTTGTACTTGCTTCTCTTTATTGATATTCTTTGTTTTGTACCTTGTATGTTGCTCTTCCATCAATAAAGTTTCTTTTTTTGCCGATCAAAATATATATATATATACACACATACAACAACAACATCAACAACCAAAAAAAAAAAAATTCAATTGCTAAAGCCTACTAACGAGTCATTTTATTTTCATACAACATTATTTTTCCCGTCCACATATTGACTACATTTGGATTAATTACAAAATGACTACTGAGGACATTAGTACACAACACATGGGTTTTTATTCGGTATTTTGTGTCTCACCTATGAATTTTCATTCAGTACGAAATTTCTAAACCAAAAATATATAAGTTTTGAAGTGTACGAAATGAGAAAAAATCATGTATGAAATCGAAGTGCCCCTTAGCAGGGGCGGAACCATGTATGGGGCAGGGGGTTACGTGCCCCCCTAACTTTTGAAAAATTATACTTATGCCTCTAACAAAAAAAAAAAAAATTCAATTTAATCCTTTTAAATAATGTTTTGAAATTTTATATCACTATTTTCATTATTCTTTTTGTAAATTTTTTTTTTATATTTAATTTGTCACTTTAAATATTTAATCATGCAAAATTAAATTCTTATAAATTTTATTTTAGATAAATGTTATATGTTATCAATTAAGAGGGAGATTAATGATATGGAATTGGGCCGGACAGATTTGGGCTGGACAAGATTGGGCCGAGGTAGCGCGGTCCTGTGCTGAAAGGATTTGCTCGGTTAAGGCAAGGCGTGGTTGGACCGAGCTACATAGCTGCATGGTATAGAGGCCAGTCAAGTGAGATGTCCGGCGCCAGGAAAGGCCTGGTTGGATTGGGGTTCACGAGTTAGCTCGGCAGGAAAGCCGACGGCAAACCAACATGAGCTGCCCCGAGTTCGGCTCTGCCGGGATGCAGCCGAGCTCGGTCCTCATTAAGCACGGCGAGCGGAGCGCTCTTGCCAGTTGCATAGCACGGCCGTTGATAGCCGAGAAGATGCAGCCCGGCTGCCGAGCTCCCAGTAGAGTGGGTTGGCAGTTTGGTTAGGTGGTGTTTAGCAAGATTTGTGCTGACAGATGGGATAGCAGCACCACGTGTCGAGAGACGGATGGGAGTAGATTTGGGGCGCAGAAGGTATATAAGCGAGTTTGCGCCCCCCATGCTGGACGGATGATTTTTGGTGAGACGTACACTAGACACAATTCTCTCCCTTCTCTCTATCTATCCCATGGTGTATGTTCTAACTTGACCGTCAGAGGGGTTTTTCGGCCACACACCGCTGGATAGCTCACCGCCTTTGTGTGCGCAAGTGATCGGATAGAAACGGAGTTTGGAAGAAGGGAGTACGGGCTTGCCTAAATATTTGCTCCCCGTACAATTGGCGCCGTCTGTGGGAACTTTGCAGATAAAACCTTGTTTTCCACGCTCATCTGATCGCCGTCCATGGCGAACAACGATGAGTTTCTGTTGTCCGCCATCGACGGAGTTACTCCGGAGTCAAGCAGACGGAGAGAGGGGCATCCCGACATCCTTTCGATGGCGAACCTGGAGACATTCCCAGGAGGAGGGTCGGGAGACGCGCGAGATAAGCGCGGTAGGAGTCATGGTCATTCACGGAGTCCTGACGGTCATCGGCGACGGAGAGAATCGCACGCCAGACGTCTAGAACACAAGCTAAGAGACCAGGACGCCGTCATCTGGCGAATGGCGACGGAGATGGAGGAGCTAAAGCGGCATGTTAAGGGGAAGGGTGTAGTTGGAGTGGGAAACAACAGTGAGCGCACCCAACCCCGCCGTTCAGGCGGTCAGAGTCAGCGACGCACTTCGTCCATTTCTATTACCAGAAGTTACAAGGTTGGTGATTCCGACGTGCATGCAGAGAAGTCTAGCGTGAAGATAGCACTTACCAGCCCTCACGTCTAGTGACGACGTCGAGGTACTCTTACTCCGCTCATTCAGAGGATTTGCGGCGGTCTTAAAGGAGCGGGCTCGTCGGCGTGAAGCTCGGAGGATACCGGCGTTCCAGCGGTTATCCTACGGGGTTCACGCCAACGAGGAGGTCGGAATGTCTCCACCCCGCCAAGCAGCGCCACTCCTAGTGGATTCAGATTTGGCAAGGTTGAGTGCCACCCCTTTCTCCTTGGAAATAGAAACAACACCTTTCTCGTCGGGCTTCCACCAGCCGAAGTTCACATTGTACGACGGGAAGACCGATCCCTACATGCATGTAAGTCATTTTCGACAGGTCATGGCCGGATATAGGCGGAATGATGCTCTTATGTGCCTCATCTTTTCGTCAAGTTTGGGCGAACTGGGCTTGAAGTGGTTTGAAAGGCTTCCAGAAGGGAGTATTGAGAGGTGGTATCAGCTGGCCGAAGCCTTTGTCACGCGCTTCAAAACCAACACCAAAACACCAAAAGAAGTTGATCACCTACTGACTGTCAAGATGGAACCGAGCGACACATTGAAGGCGTACAACTCCAGATATTGGGAGACCTTCAACGAGATCTTGGATTGCCCGGTCAACCTTGCAATCACTCAATACAAGCGTGGTCTCCTAGTCGGGCATAGACTGTGGGGGTCGCTTACCATGCACCAACCGACGTCCATGGGCTAGCTCATGCAGCGCATCAATGAGCACATCCGAGTCGAGGATGATGCGTCAACATCTACCGTGAAGGCCACTCCGGTAGCAACAGACAAGAAGACAGCAGGCAAAGTGCACGCAGTTGGGCAAGAGTCCAGCCACTCAAGTGACCGAGCGGAGGAATCGGACCGTGGCTCGAATCGCAAAAACTGGGGTAGAGGATATCGGAATGACCGGGATGACTACCCCCGAGATGACGTAGCGGAGGCAAACAGAAGGTTGAAGGCAAGGACTGGCATAACCACGGTCTTCAAGATTCCAATCTATCTATCGCATACTTAGTGAAATCCGAGACGAGGAGTATGTCCGGTTTCGTAAGCTCTGAAGCGACA